ATAAGGCTAATCGCTTTCGGAGTGTACATATTCTTAAGTAGAATTGATTATAATTAGAAAATTCGCAACTGTTGCAGGTGAACGTGACGTCCGCGCCAAACGTGTCGTTGTCCTTCTGGTCGCCGTCGTCCTTCTCGTCGTGGGTGGTGCGCTCTATTCGGAAAACCTATCGCTGGCTAGGAGTTTCAGCAGCGATTGTGGCACTCTTCTGCTTTCTGGCGAGTTTCGGCAGCAATGCATATCAGGTAATCTGCTGACGTTTTCTCCAGGCCACTTTATGCATTTATGCGCTAAAAAATCCGATAACAAATCTACCACTACTTCATTTCTGCTGCTCGAGAGAAGCAAACGAACCAGTGACGAGCTTTGCACTGTGTGGAAATTACTATGAATACGGCCACATGCCTTCACAGGAAGGAATTTATCGCCCATTCCTACCCATCATTGTTCCTGTAACTACCATAGTCATGTCTACCATTCTTTTCTCATCCATCGCTCATTCTTCCAACTCTATCTTCTTTTTTTATTTCATCTTGATTTTCTTCTCTGATTTTAGTAATAGGCATGGTATCTGCCAAAACAATAGGATAAAAAGAGAAAATGTTCAGGACCGATCAGCCCGCTTGGGCCGCAATGCACTGCATTCAATTCCTTGCGTCATAGGGATGAATCAGGGTGAGTGTGGAGCAGTAGTCGGAGGTGCCTTGCAATGCACATGGAATCAGTTCCCGCACCCCCGACCCACCCTGCCTTCCACCCCTCCGGGTTCGGCAGATTGGTACCAGAGTTGTCTGGGAGGATAGCAACACCGGCTCGATACATCGGTAGGCCACCGCGAGTCATTGTAAAGCCCAAATATGCATTCAATCACCTCTAAACGATGCTTAGTGCAGTCGAATGCATGGCGCATCCCTGAGGGACAGATCAACGTCGAAAACTTCAGGGCTTTATAGCGGTGAATAAATGCATATTTGATTGATGCAGTGAATTGTGGAAGCTAGAAGATGATGTATCAAGTTAGTGCTACTATCCTACCAGACAAGTTTGGTACCAATTGTCGACTCAGGAAAAGCTTGGTTTGCCCTGGTCTTGGAGTGAACAGATGACCGATTCTATATACCGATTATAAAAATTGTATGACACCGCTGACCACCGCACCGCTACACCTGTCTGCCGACAAACATTTAGCATAAATAAATCAAAAATGGGTCAACTTTCTTTTTCGTGCTCTAGGTTATTTCCTTGTTGTGGGTGAACTATCGTAAACATAAGAGGAAGTAAGCGGTGCCCACTTGATTTCTTTCTGTTTTTTTGTGATTTAATACTGAATTTTTATTCCCCATTAATAGTTTAATCTAGATCTAAGTCGGTTGTTAACACAAGGAAGACGATGCGTATTTTTCAACCGTTGCTTTATATTACCTTCAAAAGCTGTTTCCAAAAGTCAAGACGCAGTAAATATCACAGTACTGCAATATCTGATCTTTAAATCCTACTTTTCTTAATGAATCCTAAGAAAGAAACCCATGTCAGTACGTGTCATGGTCGTTGCTACAACCATTCGTAACATCTTTATATCGAAGAAAAGTTTACAAAGTTTTTGAATAGTTTTTCACTATTGGTGGAGACTTCTGCCACCGCAGTTTTGCAAATATCTCAGCATTATACACGAGTTATATTTCGCAACATACCCTGCCATTAAAAAAGAAAAAGGCAGTAAATAAAAGGCACAAGAGGTAGCATCAGCAATCATCCGTCGACGGAAATGGTCTGGAGCACACAAATCGGCATTGAACTCACTTTAGCTGAAGCTCTACTTGAAATCACAATAGTATAACTTTCGAATCAGACCTGGGATTTGAATTTTGCAATTATCTCAGCATCATTGTGGCTTCACTAACAGATTAATCTGACAAGTCAAGAAACACTGACTCGATTGATCAGTAGGCTGCCACAAATAATTGTATAGGTCAGACATGTATTCAACCGCCTCTACGATACTACGAATGGAGACAAATGCATGGCGCTTGCATGCCTAAGGAATTGATCAACAGAGAACTATTCGGGCTTTATTCATTTTACAGTAAACTGTAGATGAATTACTGTGAATTACATTTATTTCATTACTACGATCATTACTGCTCCTTGATTTCAGTTCCCAAACGAATACTCATTTTTCAGCATCATTTTCAAGTATACTGATTGAAGCTGCTTTTTTAAGTCAAAACCTCTTGTTGGTGTCCAAGTGGCTTTCACGTTGATGGTATCGTGCGCGAGCGGTCTGTTCGTGCAGGTGGCCGTTTCCGCCAATTTCGACCCACTCATCTGGCCGGTATTCTTCAATATCGTAGGTAAAATGCCACATTTTTTGCTGTTGATTAAATCTTAGGTGCTCCGATCATATCAAAGTTTTCCGTCAATGATGCAGAAAGACTTTTTTTTTGGTGTTCGATTGAATAAAACACAAAAATTGCGGTACCCAAATGTGAGAATTTGGAATACTGGATGCCACTCGTCTTCACAAAGATCCTACGAATCAAAGCATAATTTCCAATTGGCTGCCAGTTATAATGGGGCATTACGTAGGATCCCTGGAAAACCGTGCCAAAACATTCCCTGGTCGTCATCACGGACGATGGCCTACCCTGGTTGAAAGGAATGTTGCTCGCTTCAGGATTTCTTACATAACGTTGGCGAAACATTGAGCTTTGATAATCAAACAGTTTAAAACACTCTAAAAGTTATTGCTTGTAGTAATAAGTAGGAATGAATCAACGGATGTTAGTACTTTTTTTGGAAAGAAGCAGTACATAATTTTCAGTACCGTTGTATTGCTCAATCCTCACTTCTGCAAGATTTCTTTGCTATTTTGATGACTGTCTAATTTCTTCTCAACTATCTGTTGTACTCATTATTCCCGCATTGTAGAAATTTTAATAATCTGAATGTTTCCTTTTGAACTCCTAGAATCGTTAAATTACACTTAGTTGTTGGTGCTTCCGAAGATACCTCTAGTAACACTTAAAATAACCAAATATATTTATTTATATGTCTTGTGAGCAGATCCTGTTCAGCTGATGCGAGGTAGATATAGCTGTTGCTGTTGTTGTTGTTGTTGTCATTGTTGTTGCTGCTGTTGGTCGATGACCGACTTTTCGGCGATTTCGTCTTCCTCAGAGCCTTACTGTTACGAGTGGGACTCGATGATGCAACGACAACAACAATAGAAACTCCATATACCAATCTCGCATCAGCTCACCAAGATCAATTAATAAGAGCATATGGAAAAATATATCGGTTATTTATGCCGAAGTCTATAGAAAATCGGTCCTTTGAATAACTAGGTAGTTTTTCGAAATCTACCTCTTTGTAATATTTCGAGAAATGAAGTCGCTTCGCGTACGATTTCTATTCCATAAAAACTAGGCTCTCTATTAGTTCTAGTTGGAAGCAAAAGATGAAAAGATATGTTTTGAAAGATAAAGATAAAGTAAAGTTTTTATTATCTTTGTAAAGCTTTAATTGCTATAAAATTTAGTGATAGAGAAAATATCCGATGTCAACGTTTTTCCTTCAGGAGAAAGGATCAGTATTAGCTCCTGCGTAGATCTAGTTCAGTAAGCCGATAATTAAAAGTTAAATCTGGTCGTCTCCAGAGTAAAAAACCAACTCATGACCCTGATCATCCTTTTGTCTTCGTCATCAGACGAACCCATCCAGTAAGCTCCCTTCCCTTATTGTGCACGAACAGTCCCACACTTTCCTCTTTTCTTTTAATCTTTTAGCAAATGACTAAACACAGATTGGAGATATATTGGGAGCTATATGCATTCAGTGGGTAGTGTGATCGGCAATGGTACAGAGCAAATATCGATACTATTTGATGAGGACGACCGCTAACCGCTCCTATGGTTCCCAGCTACTTGGTAGCAGTCTTCTTTGTTTTGAACAAATCGACGCGCGAGGTGCGATTAGCACAAATGCAGGCTGCATGGATATAGGTCGATACTGACGGAATAAGTGTCAATCTTGTATATATACCAGCAGTATGAAATCCGTTTTCAGCGCTCGTTTGCGTCTCAGGACACACGTATGATCACTTTTGGTCCACGTTTAACCGTTCAACTCTCACCCGCCAACGCGCCAAATAGCGTCGAGGTTATTTGGTTTCAGCTCCGTCATGAGAATGAAAACAGTGAAATAGTCACAACTTGCGCTATTTATGCTTTCTTTGTCATAACTGACTCAATTGAGTAGCTCTAATTTCTTATATATCTTCTTAAAAAATACCCTTTCTCATTTTGGCGTTAGGTGTCACGTAACTCGGCGGTGATTTGTTTCCTATTCATTCCATGTAAAGTAATTTTTTCAGACTCTAGCTTTGTTTCAGTCTCTTTGATCCAAAAGGCCTGAAAACTCAGCCTGGGTCAGTCCATTTCTTGCACTGGCCTTGTAATAACTTTCTGTTCACTACATTGTGCAGATAGGAAGGGTAACGGGGTAGTAGTGATGCCGTTCATCACGAGCGTCCGTTGGTTCGAACATGCGCTAGGGTCAGCATTCCTGGCATTACCAGAGGTCGAAAAATTAGTACCAGACTTGTCTGAGGAATTTTACTCTTTACAATCCAATTGGGAACGCTCTAGCTCAGGCATCTCAAGATTCCAGTGAGAATTGACCTGACACGGACATTCGAGATGAAATGAGAAATCCTCAAGCAGCAACCGAAGCCACACACAAAAGTTGAAAGAACTTCGTTAATGACGGATGCGAGAAAGCGAATCGAATGCTGGAAGTGTTGGATTGCGCGCCAGTAGAAGTGAATGACGAGTTGTAAATAAAACTTAGTGTTGACATTCTTTTCTGTGAAGCTTTAGATAAGTTGATTTCGAAAAAGCCTCACAACATTTTTGGTGTGATTTTTGCAAAACGCATCTACATTGAGATCACGTTGTCCATTATCGTTTCGTTTAGGAATTGGCCTAGTCTGGTTGTTCTGTATGCATCAATCGTGGAGTCGCTATTCGTCGGCAGCTGTCCATCCCACGGAGAAACTCGCTTTCATTTTGTCGCATGACGGTCCTGGAATCACCGTCGCTGCCATCGTCATTGTCGCCACTACCAGTGAGCTCGAAAGTTTTTCTTTCGCAGAATTTCCTTTTATAGTTTCCATTTTCCTTTTTTTATTTTCTATCTTTGTTTTCACTCTATTTTTGTTTTTCTCTCATGTTCATAGCCATATGCACATTTATTTATTCAATTCCAATGTATGAATAGAGCGCCAAATCTTCGGAAGACAAATGCTACTAAGTGCAAAAAGCAGAGGTTGGAAAAATTGTCGTTACAATGACTATTGAAACAAGTAATTTGTTTACGAGGTTTTGAGCTTTCCGAAAAAAGATTTCTTGACGGTTCAGCCCGTCTTTTCCAGGAGCACAATTTGCCCCGTTTGTTCGCCATGAAAATGCGTTCTGTAAAGTAGAAAGAACCATGTAGTGCACGATAGTGACTGCGTCAAAATTGTTATTCGCTACTTTTTACAATCACCTGAATGACGGAACGTAACTATCAAAAAATTCTGTCCTATCCATGTTTTCTGTAGACAGATTTCTTTTCATTACTGATTTCCTCTTCGTTTTTTAAACATTTTTTTGTTAACATAAAAATTTCTTCCGTTCTCATGCTTTTAGCAATAGTTCCATCATCATTATTAGAAAAATAAGAGCGTTAATAACTAGCAGAACTTGCTAGGGTGATTCCTAGAGAACAGGTGAAGCGCGGCATTGCAGAGGTTCTCTGTCGCTGATGTCGTAAGTCACCCAGTCATCGCAAGGTAGAAGCTAAATGATGGAAGGACTACTCATCGACAAACGTTGTAGTTCTATCTTTTTCACCATTTAGTCAACGGAAGCCGATACAGCGGTGAAATTCACCATATTGGCTTTCCACTGGGCGAAATTACCAGTAGAGCCATTGGTTCCTATTTTCTGTTACAGAAAAATCAATAACAGCTGGAAACTTGTTGATTCGGTGTGAATCCCTATACAACCATAATACTGCTAAAATATTTGCAAAATTCCGACCCGCAGGTGTCTGCGGTGGGAAACGAACGCCCTATTACCCTTTCCGGGGAGTAACGCGTTCACCACCTCACCATGCGGGTCCCGTTGAGGTTGTATTTAGCTTAATACTCTGCCGTAAAAATTGTAGTAGGCAGAAAATAAAAAGCAAACATTGTGAATTCCTTACAATTTGTAAGAGTAGAACAAAAATTAAAAGTAAGCAAATGGCAAACAGCAAGTTGTTTTTTCCTCCTAGTACGTAGTTTTTTGGCGGTGTCGACGGGAACTGAATGATATAGCGTCGTTGGCTGTGGTTGCAAGTTGTTGTGCACCTCTCCAGCTGCATGTATAATAACATCTATTTCTAGAATATTCTATGAATATCTGTCTTTGCTCTGCTTTGGCCAAATTACAACTCGCCTAATCTGAAAGAGTTTTAGTTTAATTTAATTTTGATTTATTAAGATTATTTCGCTTAGTATGTACCACCTATAAAGCTTTCGGATTAGGGAAGCATCAGGTAAAAAAAACTCGTGCTTGTCGTGACTTTGTTTTTTGAAGAAATACAAAATCGCTTTCTTGTATGGGCACAGATATTTTAATGGCCTGTTTTCACATAATGTATAAAGCCTAGATCGCTTCTTCATTTCGTTTCGTGCTCTAGGAATTCATGAAAGTGGTTGTATGTTCATGTGGTTTCGGAAGCTGTTTGAGGATTGGCGCTTTCTCTCTTCACTGATGCATCAATTCTGGCCATGCGCAGTTTTCTTTGGTATCGAGAGGTGTCCATGCTAAAGTGTCCTTAAGTCTTCGACGCAGGAATTCGTTACTTCATGAATCTGAAGGAGCTTGCTCTCCTGCGACTAGGGTTCTTTAAAGATGACAGCAATTCTTGCGATTAGACGACCGATCGACGGTAATGTAATAAGCGATATATACATCTAATCGCAGAGTAGAAGTGAATTCTGGCTTTTTTATGCTCCACCACCTTGGATAGATATAACGCAAACAGCTATCGATGGGTATGAAGAGATTACATAAGGATCAGGAATAGTTTTAGCATACCAGCACTGCAAGAGAGTGGCTAGTTAACATTTAACTTTGGTTATCAGATCAGTGGTAGTCTTGTCAGCTACTGGGTAAAAACAACGGCTTGAGAGTGGTTCTTGCAGACGGAGATAACTCATTCCTTCTAGGTCTACTCTATTGAAGACTTGGTGTGGTGAAAGAATAAGAGGGAAAGAACAACATGGTTTCATGACCAAATGGTGTTTCTCACACATCAGTTGAAGTAAGTTGACACTGTCGTACGACGTGATCGCATACACGCGAAAGCGGTTAAAGAAATTTTTCCAACCGCTTCGAGGAAACGAGGTCGACCTGCTTTATCCAAAAGATGCTTCTTAGTGAACTTTCAGATCTGTTTTTCTAGTTTTTAAGGCAATTTTCCTACCACTGAGCAGTTTGTTTTCTTCAACCAACCATAGTCAGCTATTCTTCACATCTTCTTGCAAGCGAACAGCGGGTGATTGAAGTCCCTTAAATTTTGCAGTTGACCCCATATCCTCTTTTTATTCACTCTGCCTTTTGTTTATTCATTCTGAATCATACGATGCTTCCCCGGTCAATCCCGTTGACGAGTGATTGCTGATGGCATTGATCTAAAGAGACGGTAGCGTTGTTAGTTTATCATATCATGTTCAGATACGCTTGCAAAAAACTGTAAGTGCTCTCAGTTAATGAAGAAAACTAGAAGAAACAGAAATAATTCTGGTGATCAAGGGATGAGATATTTGCAAAACTCCGGACCTCAGGTGTTTGCGGTGTCAGCTACAGCCTCAGCTTAACTGGGTTCAATGTCGACTTGTGCTCTCCAGATCAATCCCGTTGACGAGTGATTGCTAATGGCACTGATCTATAGAAAATTTGCGGACAGACAGGAAAAACGAAGTACCAGCATGGTGTGGTGATGAACGCGTTAACCCCAGGATTAGGGTAAAAGGGCATTCGTTCGCCACCGCAAACATCTGCGGTTCGGAGGTTTGCAAATATCTCAGCTTCATTATGGTTGTATTTCACACAATAATGTTGTGGCGTTGAGCTCCCAACTTTATATGAATACCAATCGTTGGGAATATTATTCCTCGTAGCTGCCAAGCAGGTCTTTTGTGTGTAAGTCGTTGAATCGAACGTCTTGAGACACTGGGTTACAACTTTATGATTATAGTAGCAATAACAACAATAACAGTAGAGCGAAGTATATGGACGAGATGAACGAACTTGATGAACACTACGAGCACCAAGAAAGCTGTGACTGATAGTCTGTTTATATTCATTGAGTGATGAGCGTTGTGAGGCTAGAATAGATGTAGACATTGTCTGCTAACAAAAGGTGTTGGGAAATTTCTCAGACAGTGCAATCTTGTAGAGCTACGTTCACAGAAAGTTCGTGAAATCTGCACAGGAGCTTATACAGAAAGTACATATGAAGAGGCCAAACTGCTCGTACGAAAAGTTCATCCGAAAGGCGGCACAAAGGGTTATGCAAATGTTCATGCGAAAGCGGTGAAGTAGTTTGTACAAAGGCTTTCACAAAAATTGCATTTGGAAAGGGTACCAGGGCTTATACAGTATGCATGGATAGAGAACATTTCATGTTTATGAAGGATGTTCTCTATGCCTTGCTACCTTGCTGCGAAAAGTTGTAGTAGGCAGCAAATAAAAGGATAACGTTGATCAAAGGATGCTCCGCAAAACCATTGATCCTTGTATTTTTGTAGTTTCCGCATCTTTCCTGCAACGTCGTTGTTTTCTATTGCTTTCATTTAGCTTTCAGTATTACTTGTTCCATTTACATACCGTACTTCTCTTGCCTTACGATTCTGTCAGCATTTCAATTTTATACTCCAATCACATAGCCTCATTCTGACGACTTTAAATTCTTCCCATTTACACTAAATTTTATTCATACGCTGATCCTTTCGATTCTACGTCTTGTTGACTTTACCATCCTGCCAACGGTTTACCGCCTCATTGTGGCTGGGAGGTGTTCTTGGGTGTTGGACTGCGATGTACGGCAGGGGATTTATCCCCTGGCAGAGTCTCCTAAGCTGAAGAGTCCGGCGTTTCCATCAGGAAGCCTAGCTAAGAGTAAACCAATACCACGATCCACCACTGTCCTCGTATCAAAGTCGCATGGTGGCAAATCTCCCTCTGATCCACAAGGGCTGCGGCTGCCTGTCGTGGTGACGACCTGGTGCAGACTTTGACCAGGCTGTCCTCGTGATTCCAGGGAACCACAATGGCTTAACCTTCAAGTTTCCGAAAAGTAGTGATTATGCTAGGGCCTGCACAACTAGTGATGACAGGCCGCTCAAATATCAAGTAAGTAAGTAAGGCTTTACCATTTACCATTTACCTCTAACTTTATCCACTTCCTGACTTTCATCGATTTCTTTTCGAAGTGCCCTTGGAAGTTTGGGCGACTTTTCAAACCGCGGCAAATTCTAACCTGGAGCTTACCCTGGATCTTCTTATATCTAAGCCAATAAGGTTTTCGTTTTTCATTGGGGTCCTTAACATCTTTAAGGTGTTTTTCGAAATTCTCGTCCAGTTGTGTGTCCGTATTCATTCAATTCGCGATTCCTGTGTAAAGCTATAGCACAGTAGTAAGTAAGGAACAGCAATCGATTATTGATCAATCATTGATTAGTGAAAAAATTCAAAGTTGCCCCCTTTTTCTATGCTTGATGTAGTTGGCAGTGACCGACCCTGCTGATATTCAGTGCTGGCGGCTGTCGTCACACCGTTGCGTTTCATGCAGTCGACGATGTTGGTGATGTCGGTCGCTGTCACCATACTATTCATTTTCCTTATCACGTAAGTTTTTCTTTTCTTATACAAGGTGCTTTCTGTCAAGTAGAGAATCATCTGGTTCAATATTTTTTACTCTTTGATCTCTATTTCATCGATTTTTGTCCTTTTTTTATTAATCAACAAGGATTTGATGAATTTTGAAAATATGAGCGAATTAGCTCGCTAATGTTTCAAAATTTAGCCATTATAATCAGTATTTATACGACTCTGGTTACTGTAATACTCGTCCATCCCGAAATATGTCTATGTAAACAAAGTGAAAGAAACCGACTTAAATATGGAAGATGACCCAAAGGAAGCCTTTCTTCAGTTTTACAGCAACATAATGAAATCTCTTGCTTTTAAACAAGAAGTGAAATGTTGACATTCATGTGCTGTCTGTTCGTATTCAAAATAGCAGAAATCAAAAATCAATTGCAAATCAGCAAGATCGCGCTGTTCTACAAATCAGACCTGCACCACGATGATAACAGTTCACCTATCTGACCACTACAATCCATCCCGACCTAGCATGTTGTCATCAGCAGAATTGGGGAAACGTTGGGTTTCTAATGGATCCTAAGGAAGCTCGCAGAAATAGTTCAAAAATACAAGAAGCCGCCCCGCTTTCGAAATTTTTCCATGTGGGGAAACCCTCTGACTAAATCGAACCAGGGTCAGCGGCCGATGCGTTCGATAGATTTCGCATGGCAACATCGCTTTGTAGAAGATCTTTTATGTCATGCCCTAAAACTTAATGTCCATGCGAAAGTGAAAAATTTGAGAAAGAGAATCAACAACGCAATCAATTCTGTCAGATAACAGCAGTCGAATCTTATCAGTGTTAAGCCTTGGCTGCCTAGATATTAGAAAGCTGTTTCGGCTAAGTAAAGGAAGCATTTTGGGATCTCAAAAATAGTGCGTAATCCATTATAGGAGGTTTTCCTGCTGATAATGCGAATTTGGACTTGCGAAGATGATCTGAAAAGGAACGTTGTTCTTTCGTTGAACAAGTGCAACATGTTTCAGAGATTAGATAAATAAGCGGAGTATTGAATGGTCAGACTACCTCATGGAGAAGTTCATGAAAATTGGATGTAACCTTAATCGAGGTTCCATGCCAAGAGTGCAGCGTTTTGTAACTCTATTGCTGAATACACTGTAATCAATTTATTGAATAGCACTCAAGACACTCGATAGTTGAAGTCACGTCTAAATATGCAGGAAGTACAATAAAAGGATAAAGGATAAAGCGTCCGGCGTGGACGAATTCTTGAGGAATACTCTATGTGTTAGACTCCATTCTTAACATCGTGACCTAGTGCATATTTGCCTCAAACATGATGTGCAGAATCCTGCCAATGTATCAAGTCAACGCTGCTGCCCTCCCAGACAAGTTTGATGGTTATTTGGCAACCCCGAATCAGTGAAGACTAGGTGAACCTGTAGCACTCGATCGAACCACTGAGTGACCCAAAGCATTGAAGAATCACTATAACCACTGCGCTACATGCCCTACCCCTGATAATGCATGTGAAGGAACCATAAAGAGTTATCCTGATGATATCTGTAGTTGATTTCGTTAAGAACAAAGTCGTAAAAATTACCCTACGTCTAAAATTACTATGCATTCCATCAATGATTCACTTCGCCACTCAATCGGTGCAGGGATGTCGAATTCCGATGCAAATCACGAAAGTTTACCTTTCGACCAAGTCACTCCTACTAGTAAGGAATCCAACATTTTTATGAAATTGAGAACTCAGTAAAGAGAAAAGCATCATTGTTAGAATATTCCAACGATATTATTATTATTATTGTTATTATTATATTATTTAATGAGCATGAACATTGAAGGCCTAGCAACTTAACCGAAAGATTGGTTTGCTGTTTATTTAAGTAAGTGAATAGCCTTCATATGTTCGGTGGTAAATGTCATGTGACGGCTATAGACGTTTTGATTTTTCAGTTTCGTTGCTGTGTTCATCTACATTGGTGGACGACGTGAAGCAAAAGGAGTGAAATGGTATCAACTCTTCACGACAGGCGACACACACTTTACTGGTAAGAAATCTGGATCTTAGAGTAACTTTATCAGTTTAAATTAAAAAAGGTATAAGAAAAAGATAAACAAGAAGGTTCCGGAATGGTCTTTTGCTGCTTTTTATCCATGTTTTCGGCATTTCTTTTAGTTTATGTTTCACAGTGTTCTAAATGGTACACATCTTTCTGCAAACTCGGCTAGGACTAAACTAACTTAAAAAGTCGCCACTGTTCTAGAGAAAGGCTAGTCCCTAAGACGACGGACGTTCGCCCAATCTTCGACGCTCCTCGACGTGAAGTATTTGCGGGATGCCCGAAGACGGGAATTTCACCCTGAAAGTTCAGCAAATAAGAAAACTTGCTCAATAACCAAAACATTAGCCACGTCGAGGAGTGCAGATCCTCAGGCCGTGTGTAGAATCCACATTCTAGCCAGGCGACCTTCCTTGATGACGTTTACAAAAGAACTAAAGGCATTAAGGAAAAGTTGGGACCGTCTACATATTTGTAGACGAACCGTGGGATGGCACGGATTCCTGAAACGTTATCAATGTGGCAAAATGCGTGTAGCATAGTGGTTAGGTTCCATGCTAAGCATCATGGACGTTGTTTTGATCACGTCCCAATCTCGCCTTGTCTGAGAGGACAGCAGCACAGAGCTGATGCATCTGTGGTCTGCCGCAAGTCTTTGTATAGGCCAAGTACTCACTCAACCACCTATCCTGTACTTGATAGAGTTGAGTGCACGGCGCATTTCTCAAGGATTGGACGGCGCCGAATACATTATCCGTTGCCCTTTCTGTGGATGATATCGTACTCCTTCAGTTATCACTCAAATCATCGGCTAAAACGAGTTTTGCTTAGGAATTATGTGTACCGATGAAGGTCAGAAAAATATGAATTTTTCTTTGTAAATCAAATTTCAAATTTATTTTTTAGTATGATGCCGATTTTGGCAGTGTTTGCAAACTGAATATTTAAAAATAGACGTTTCTAGAAGATGATTTCAGCTCCGAATCTTAGCGACTTCGACTCGACGTCGTTGTTTTCCCTGCACGACCGCCTAATCGACACGCGGCCAAGCGTCGTGCGCGCTCTTGGCGATAGACTAATTGCACGTAACGCGCGCTATCCGGTCGTCATGTTCTGCACGGTGGTGATGATCTTTGCCATCTGGGGTTGTATCAACATTAAGTAAGCGTTCAACTTTTAAAAAAAATGCCCAGTTAAGGTCCACTTATCGTCAGCAGGCGTTAATATAATAGATCCGAGTTAATTGGGAGCCCAGTGACAGAGTTCGGAAAAGCGAAGGGTTTTGCCACCTATCTAGCAGCTAAAGGCGCGTGTGGCGCAGTAGTTGGAGGTGCTCTGCAATACACGTGAGATCGATCCCCGCGTCTCAGGCTCATCAAGCTCTCAATCCACCCGAGGTTGGCAAATTGCTACCAGACTTGCCTGTGAGAACAGCAGCTCGATACATCAGTAGGCCACTGCGAGTCAATGTGAAGCCCAGATATGCATTCTCTCGCCTCTAACTATGCTTAATGAAGTCCAGTGCATGGCGCATCCCTTAGGAGTTGGCCAACGCCGAGAGCTTCATCCTTTATTTATTCGTTATCCAGCAGCTGCCAACTGCAAGGTGTTAAAAATTCTGGAAAAATGCTGATTGCTTAATGATTTGAGGTCGCATTAGATCGCAAGTGTTTAAGTATCATTTAGAGTGGATTTGCGTGAGGAGAACTTTTTGCCTTCCACGTCGCCGGCCCGTTGTTTCCTCGAACGATATCGAGAGCTGTTTGGCAAGACCACACAGTTCCTCGAGGTTTGCAATACTGCGCATAATTCCACTAACTATCTACACTATCATGGAGATCACAAAGTTTCTGGAATAGAAAACTGTAGATCTGACGTATGATTGATTATTTGTGAAGGAAAAAAGGAAAGGTATAGAAATACTTGTAGACGATTTCTCTCTCTAGGTAGTCATCGATGATACGGTGGAATATGATGTGGAGGAAATCCGTGACTCTATTCTTGAACTATTGGACAGTGCAGTAGTACGTTGTTTTTTCTCCTGTTTTCCTTTCTCCTCTTGTCTTTTCCACTTTCTTTCTATGTCGCATCTAAATCAGAAACTGGTAAGCTAACAATCGTGCTGTAGTATTTCCTTGCTCTTCCTCATTTTTCTTCTGTAGAGAGTTTTCTATTCAACTCTACAATGTTGACTATTACCGTCGCTCCTCTATGATCCTATATATGGCTGTTTCAGACCATTGGTTGGTTAATCGATCAAATGGTTGGTCAGTTGATCCATCAGTGACTGTTTTATTTCCTTAAAACTTTTTTAGCTCATTTTTACCACCTTCAAAAGTTCGTTTTATTGCGGACATCTTAAGTTTTTCGACCACTTTTCGGTCTGAGATATCGTAAGATCATTTAATTGATACTGCATTTCGTCCGCCAGAAGCCTTAGCATATCATTTTTTACATTGGCCAGATTTTCTAAGAATACCATATTAACTTCTATGATGCTGAGATATTTGCAAAACTCCGGGCCGCAGGTGTATGCGGTGGGGAACGAATGCGATATTACCCTTTACGAGGGCTAACGCGTTCACCACCACATCATGCGGCTCCTTCGTTTCGCCTGTCTCTCACCTAGCTTTATCCTGTCTAATACGATATTAATTTAACTAACCAATTTAGTTACTTGACTATTTAGAGCGCTGGATATGCTTCTCGAGCTATAAGTTGGCTTTCCGAATTCGCTAAGTTTGAGAAGAATACAATCTATGATATTAATGAAGTAAGTCTGAAATAAAACTCATACCATGCCATTTGTTAATTATTGTTAGGTTCTGACAAAGAATTTCAATAGCTATAAGTAATTAAAGAACTTAAAAGTCAATTTTGAATAGTTTTGATTCTTCTTCGGAGGTTCTGGTTGTGACTGCAAATTGTGACGACTTAGGTTTAAAAGCCTTTTAAGGACACATTTGTACCAGTGGTGAATCTGGTGTTTCTCGGAACGGATCCCTACAAACGATTTACTTCGGACATCTCATTCGACCGACATCAAACCCAAATCGTTCGATCAAGAATGTACCTTGAGCTCACGCAGAAAGGTGTTAACGAACGGTATGCACTCCTTCTCATACATGCCTAATCAGCTAAATTAAAACAGTTCAATATGTAACCACTCAAAATTAACTTCGTTTGAGTGTTTTTCTCCTACTCGAACTGTTCTATTCGCACAGAGCGAGCACATTGTTCTCGCCGTAGCCATTGTCGCATTGTCTACGGTATTTGTGACGGGATTCCATTCAGAGTGACTCTAGTTCAGTCGCTACTGGCAAAATCTCGCCAGTTCCGTCTTCCCGTTTCTATTCGAGCCCCGTTCACTATGTCACTTAAGCACGACATTTCGGTAAGGGTTTCCATTCCTTATAGTTGCGTCTTTTTTTTGTTTTGTTGGACTTAAATATCAACTAGTTACATAATTGTAGTAGATTTTTTCCATAAACATCTATTATTGCAACCACGTGAAGCAACCTAATGGTAGGTGTGCCTATTTATTAGCTTAAAAACAATTCGTTATATGCTAAGTTACCTTGCAACCGTAGACGACTTTGCACCATCCATTGATTTCATCAGTTTTCTTATTCGGATTTTTCTTTTTTGATAGAAAAGGATGTTTCTTTCGCTACTTTAGGAGAGACACGTGTCCCAAATTATGATTTATATGGCTAAAAATTTTCTAAATACAATCCTGTTAACGGGAAAGATTACTGAAAGCAGTATTGGGAAAGACAACGGTAGATAACGTATGTCGTTCGGTGCAGATTAGTTGCAAAATATCCTTAAAAGCCTAATAAAAAAAAATTAGTCACGTTTAGCAGGCACCACAACGATAAGAATGTTTTGGTTTGTTTCAGGTTCTATCATCTAGTTTTTTCGTATTTGGCGTCTCTTTGGTGTGCCTCTTCGTTTTTTCGCTTTTCCTTCTTGGTCAGCCGGCTCTTACGTTCATCCTCGTTTTCACTTCCGTAGGTGGTGAGTCAAGTTGACATTTTTGGTGAAGAATCCTCTTCAGTTTTCTATAATTGCATGGTTCGTCATTCTCAAAAGTCCTAATTCTCACCTATCCTGTTTCTAAACTAAGTATTGTTTTAATCACAATCTTAACCCTTTTATTTACTGCTTTTTTCTCTTGGTGTGGTGGTGAAGTGCGCTACTCTCCGGAAAGGACAATAGCGCGCGTTTGTTCCACACCGCATACACCTGCGGTTCGGAGTTTTGCAAAGATCTCAGCATTATATAAGAGTTATATTTCGCAACATACCCTGCCATTAAAAAAAGGCAGTAAATAAAAGGGTTAAGATTGTGATTATAACTAACCCTCAGCTTAACTGGGTTCAATGCCGATTTGGGCTCCCCAAATCAATCCCATTGACGGGTGATTGCTGATGGCAAAAGATCAATAGAACTAGCTGAGAGACAGGTAAAACGAAGAGGACCTGGATGGTGTGGTGGTGAAGTGCGCTACTCCCCGGAAAAGACAATAACGCGTTCGTTCCCCACCGCGTACACCTGCGGTTCGGAGTTTTACAAATATCTCAGCATTATATACGAGTTAAGTATTGTTTTGTTTGTCAAAGTTCGACATTATTGTTTAGTAAGCAACCTTTTTTTACCTTAAAAAGACGTATAAAAGATCGTGCAAATACGTGGAATGACTAGATGGATGAATAACCGGATGAAAGGATGAATTAATTAAGGAGTTAGTGAGTGGATGGATGAATGGATGAATGACAGTTCTGACATTCGCTGTTTCAGTGCTGATAGAGACAATTGGCTACGCGACACATTGGGAAGTGCCGATGAACGTCGTCACAGTCACCGTCGCGTTATCAGGTAAAAGAGATAAACTAGAAAACGAACGATCCTCAGTCGGCCAGTGCCTGTCGAACTGCTGATGATCAACATCATGACCGTCACTTGGTAGTTCAAGTGTCACAAATAGTGGGATTTTGGAATAGTTGGCGTGCCATTAGTATTTCAACTCCTGCTATGTGAATGTGGTACTCCTCAACTAATGTAACGCTGCTGGGGCATAAAACCATTATAAAAACGATGATCGAAAAAATTCAGAGGTTACTCAACCATTCGTACTGACGGTTACGAATTCGTCGTTTTCTCTCTCAGCAATCACGAGGCTGTTAAACAGTATGCGTTTACTTCCATACAATAACACACATACAACACAATCGTAGTTGATGTTTCGGTAGAATCGCCTTCTTCAGAGCCTGGAAGGGTACACTAATGCGCAACTTACTAGGTCAAACGCTTCAACGGCACAAACAAAGAGATGAAAATCTGCACGATAATTACAAGATTTACGGCTTCTCAAAAAAACCTACTGCTTTTTTCACCTGTCTTCCACCGAGGAAGAACAGCCGCTAAGAGTCGCATGTGGTTGACGACTGCACCCCACCACATCAACGACCGATACGAATGTACGGGGCCAGATCACGTGTGGTATCGGGGCATTCCCTCTGCTATTCATTGTGAGATTTTTGGCATTTATCCAAAAAACCTCGAGGAATTTGCTCGTTGGTGTTTCAGGATCCCGTGCAAGGAGAGCGTCTTTTATATCAAAATCGTCTCCGCTGTGTTTTTGTATCCTATGCGTGCCTAGTGGTGCGCTTTGCTTTGCTTTTCGTTTGTCATCTAGGTGTTCTTTTATGCGGATACATAAGTGTCTGCTCGCTTCGCCAATATATTCGTCTCTGCTGTACCACAAGAGATCAGGTATATCGTACCTGAACTCATGCAGCCACCGTCCCTGCCATAAGGGCAGATTTGTGCTTCACTTAGACGGTCATATAGGTGGCTACGAACTAACTGACGACGAGGAGTATTCGGTGGTATTTCAGTTATCGCTACCGATTCCTCTAGATCTGCCATTCTTAAGCATCGATACACTTATTTCATCGCTAATAAAGGGCAAGATAAACGGGACTTTGTTTCGGCCAAACCGTTCGTTTTGTAGCTTCGCTCTCCTTCGAAACCTATCTCGTGGGCTTACAATTTCGTAGCCATTGGAGATAGTTATTTGTCGAGCCAAGTCGCGCGATTTTTCCTTTAGTTCCCTACTTGTGCACACAGAGGTGACTGTTTGAAACATATTACTCACAAGCGCCCTCTTCGTGTGTGAAGAGTGGGAAGAGATGGAATGAATCAGGATGTTTTTATTACTTGGTTTTCGGTGCGACTTTGTCATATAACCGTTACTTGATAAGTTAATTTGAACGTTTAAAAACGGGATCCAGTCGTTTTTCGGTTTCTCCCGGGTGAACATAATGTACTCTGACTGCTCGTTCAATAATTCGAAGCATTTGTCCATTTCCTCCTGTGTAGAGAAGACGACAAAAACAATCACCTTTACATCTGCAGTAGAGTAGCGGCCGAAGACCGAGAATGGGGACTTCCACTCCAGACGAAAATGCAATGGCAAGGCTCGGTGCCAGTCGCTGTCCCATTGCCAGCCCCCTTATTTGCGAGAAATATTTCCCAGACTATCTAAAAATCGAGCAGTTTAGGCACTCCTTTAAGAGAGCCATTAGGTGCTGGATGTACAAGCCATGCATATTTATTCTTCCTTCATGTTCAACAAGAAGTTCGAAGATGGTTTGCATTGCTGAGTTATTCGACACGTTACTGTAGAGCGCGGTAACGTCGAAGACTCCATCACGTACGCGTTATTAGGGGACGCGTTACGTAGACGTTCTAGGAGCATTTTGGTGTTCATGAGGTGGGTTGGAATTTGGTTAACTGGGTAAGTATTAGGCTTAAAAACGAGGTTATTCTATCCGTTGGCCCGTCTACACAGCTGATGATCGGTCTAACCTTCAATGATGATGGATTGGTTGGCGCAACGTCATCAGATGATACCAACTTATGTGTTTTAATAAATAGGTATAAGACGGGACATGTTGGTTTATCGATTTTAAACTGCGAAAAACCGATTAGTGTACCCTTCCAGGCTCTGAAGAAGGCGATTCTGCCGAAACGTCAACTACGATTGTGTTGTGTTTGTGTTATTGTATAGAAGTAAACGTATGCTGTTTAACAGCCTCGTGATTGCTGAGAGAGAAAACGACGAATTCATAATTCAATGCCGAGTTTAATAGAAAGTTGATCCTGGTTACTGAGGGTTACGGTTTTGTCAGTTTTTCTCCACTTAATGGATTGAGCATATCAACGCAGTGCTTGGAGTACCCTGTGCTGGGCACTCTGATCGCTGATTCAATCCGATCCCGTGAGCTAACTAAACCACCCATCCCCCCGAGTTCGTAATTTGATACTGGATTTGTCTGTGAGGATGAAAACACTCACTTGATATGTCACTAGCCTACCGCGAGTCATATAAAATGTGGTCAAGCATGCATTCAACCATCTCTACGATGCTATGAATGGAGTCCAATGCGCGATGCATCACTAAGGGATAGATCAACACCGACCGAAGACTTTATACTTGGAGTGATGGTCAGTAATAACAGTATCAATCTGGTAGTGCGTTTGTACTCTCAATGCAGTATGAGCACCACCGTTATTAGGGCAGGGGCTTAGCTTCCTTTTTTTCAAAAAATCACCAATATTCTTGAATTTTAAGGATAAGAACAAAGGATAAAGCTCTCGGCATTGATCAATCTCTGACGGATGCGTCATGCTTTGACTTCACTAAGCATCGTTAGAGTTGTTTGAATGCATATATGGTCTTTACAATAACTCGCGGTGGCCGATTGGTGTATCGAGCCGATGCTGCTATTCTCTCGTATAAGCCTGGTACCAATTTTTCGACCCCGGAAGGATGGAAAGCTTGGTAAGCCTGCGCTGTGAGCGCTCATTTATATTGCAGGGCACCTCCGACCATAGGAATTTGCTCATGAGTTCTTTTGTATACAAACAAAATCATCATCGGTCGAAACAAAAGCGAAGCGAGGGCCTCAGTGGTGCAGTGGGTAACACGTAAACCCATGGAAATGTTGATCATAGGTTCGAACCTGACTTGCCGCCAAATTATTGCAAATATCGCATCACTCTAGTGTTATTCCGTATAATACTCTGTGTGAAAAAATAATAGCCAGTAAATAAAAAAAGTTA